TGCTTTGGCATGTTCCTAGCAGCGTTTTCCTTCATTTCTGCCTTTACGTGTGGACGGGATTATTTTTTAAAACGAAAACGGAAAATCTCCGTTTTCAAAAATACTCATGTACGTGTGGACGTAGCTTGAGGCCGCAGGCTCACCAAAACTGAACGACAGAAGACCGGGAAAACATTTCCTGGTCTCTCAGTTCCTGCTGTGACTCTTTCATGGTGTGGTCAAAACACGAAACAAGGATCCATCCGATCTTGTGTCAGCTGTTCAGGCTGCTGCTGGTCTAATACTGTGATTCTGAAATACTATGTAGTCGTATTTAACTGCCCGCTATTCTTCTCCGTCTTTGTCGTCTCAACAGCTTATGTTTACACTTTTGATATCCTCTGACATATCTGTCAAATATCTCACACACCTCTCAAGAAACTAGTTTTTTCTTGATGTTAACAATCATTCAGTTAAGTTAGATACTTCCTGTCTTGTTTCCTGAATGTTTTATTTTGTGTCTCCCACTCAAGTAGCTGAAGGTAGCAGCTAAAACAGCTGTGACTAAAACACCACCTAGCATCAACACATCATGCGATAAGAAGCAGCGGCATGTATGGAAATCACCTGCACCTGGAACACACAGAAGATCCCACACATGCCACGGTGACGCTCAATTATCCCGTACCACAGCCAAATTATGGGCTGTCTTGATCTCTCATGGCTCGGCTAATGTGAGACATTTTAAAATGCAGAAATATAAAGTGTAACAAGTCATGTCAGTATTTACCGACCTGTTTACCACCCCTCTTCTTGGCTAGCTGCCTCCCTCCGCCTACGCGTGGCTTCTATGCATTACCAAGCTAACAACACATCGCTAGCAGCGCTACAACCTCACTTCACTGCACATTTACTTTTAGCCGTGTGGGCAATGATGTTTTCCCCTCGTGGCTTCCAGGAGCCCAACAAATCCTGATTGAACAATCAGTGCTAACGGCAAACAAGGATACTGAAAGCTTGATTTGGCTTCTGTTTCTCCATTGTGTAAAAATCATCTCTTTGTTTTGCTATTAGCAGTTGTTCATTTTTCATTTGTGTCTGTAAACTTTACCCAGCTGGGTTCAGCTCGTTATATTTAATTCTTATCCTGCTCTAAGAGCTGTCGCTTGGTGCACTAATTACTCCCGAATGCAGACTGGTCTTCATCCAAGTCACATTTAGAGACAAACACAACTAAGCTGGAAACACCCCGAACAGTTTTACTCTGCAAGTCTTAATTGAACACACTGGATGAGTGAACTCACAGAGTCTTGTTATTACACCAGGAGAAGTAATTTGGGACAATTTATCAAGATAAAACGGATCTTCATATTTCTGGTGTCTTCATTGAACATCCATCTTCACATCATGCTGCAGCAGTTCATTTGGTTTAAGGGCAGGACTGTCTGCAGGACACTGCCCCAGTTTCATGGTTTCCTTCAAGTCCTCCACTTACACCAGGAGTGGGCAATTCCAGGCCCCGAGGGCCGGTGTCCCTGCAGGTTTTAGATGTGTCCTTGAACCAACACAGCTGATTTAAATGGCTAAATTAGCTCCTCAACATGTCCTGAAGTTCTCCAGAGGCCTGGTAATGAACTAATCATGTGATTCAGGTGTGATGACCCAAGGTGAGATCTAAAAACTGCAGGACACCGGCCCTCGGGGCCTGGAATTTCCCACCCCTGACTTACACCATTGTTTTTATTCAACATTTATTTTCCCTACAATCTACGCAGAAACACTTACATTAGCAAGGTTTTCATTTACCCTTTAGGTCTTTACATTCTTCTATAAATAATGGTGTGTTCATTATAATTTATTAGGTACACCTTACTAGTAATAGCTTAGACCTTCTTTTTGATTTAATGACATTATGATTTAAATGTCTTGATGCATGCCCAATAATCCAGTTAAGGAAACCCTAGAAAATGAATTCTGTTCATCTAGACGTAGTGTTTTCAGTGGGAGAAACGTTTCTTCACGTGGGGAAACCTGCAGTCAGCTGAGACCAAAGACCATCTGTGTAT